GGTCATTCCATTGTACTTTTTTTTGTGTGATACAAGAAGCTAATTGTCATCATTTATCGTTTTGCTTTAGTTGGTTGGTGAGGTGCCTACTGTTGATCCGGGATTGCCAGCCCTCTGTGCTACCCCCACACCAAGCTTCTACTGCTGAGAGAAAGGATGATGCACTTGAGACTCGTGATATCAGTTCCCAAACCAATATCCAAAGGCCTATCACCAGTAATGTTTCCCCAGCAAAGCTTGCACAAGTTGAACGTAAAATGTCAATGGAAAGCGACGATTCCTCTGAGTCCACCGATGAAGATGAAGCTGTTGTTGAAAGAAGCCGCCCCCTTATGAGATCTGCTTCTCCTAGGAGGTCTGCTTCTCCAATGCGAAGGGTTCAAATTGGGAGATCAGGATCTCGTAGGTCAACGCCAATTGCCATCAAGAGCCTAAGTTACTTCCCTCCTAGCCAGAGAGTTGCTTTGGATAAAGATGATGAAAGCAGCTGCAATGGTGAAACAGACCAGCCACCAAGGAGATCCGACAATAATGTAAGAAGAATGAGCGTGCAAGATGCGATTAGCCTTTTCGAGAAGAAGCAGAAGGGTGAGAATCTGGATTCTGAAAGTAAGAAAGCCGGCTTGGTCGCGACCAAATCTGTACTGCGTCGGTGGAGTTCAGGAATGGGTGACTCTTTGAACAGCAATACATCGGGAGAAAAGACCTCAGATTCTACCTCTCAAAGCAAATCTAACAATATGGCATCTGATGCAGAGAAGAATGAAGCTGAATTACAGGCTGAGACAGATGCAGCGCCAAACAGTGTAGTTGCACCTGAGGCAGGAAGTTACGATGCTGATGGCCATGGCATCACAGTGTCGGACATGGAAAATGTGGTCTCATCCCACAGTAACATTTCTGCTGAACAAACACATTCTGGGCAGGAGTCAAACAGTGATAGGGCAATGGCCTCTGCTGAGTGGAATCGCCAGAAGGAAGCCGAACTTAATCAGATGTTAATGAAAATGATGGAGGTCATGCCTGGGAAGTTTGCAGGCGCCAATGTAACTGCTACCGGGCTCATTTCTGCAAGTGAGAAGAAAGGCGGACTTCAAAGAGAGAAGCGAGACACGAAGGTTCGAACAGAGAAAGGTGTAAAGCGACCAGCAAAGGAGACGAGCACCAAGCTCTTGAAGGAATCCGTTGGGCAGAACAGAGCAGCAGTTACCCCCAAGACTAGCATCATAACAGAGAAGCGCAACTCACCTATTCCACAAAGGGCAAGGAGAAATTCATCACCTCCAGTCTTGCCAAAGGAAGTGATCTCAAAGACACCAGCAAAAAAAAGTTCCCCCAAACCATCACCTGCACCAGCTACCCGTAGTTCATGGTCAGGATCTTTGACTAAAGCAACTAGTAGTACTGCACAGAAAACTAAAAACTCTCCTGGAGCAGTTTCAACATCGACACCAACTAGCCGGAGAAGGACCGCGACAGCATCCTTGGCACCTCAGCCGATTTCAAAGGTGGAGAAACCCCTTCCAGCAGTGAAGAACAAGAAGGAACCTGTGACTGCGACAAAGCCAGCCATTAAGGGGCAGGAAGATAAGAAGACAAGGACAGCAACAAAGCCGAGCAGAGTGGCAAAAAGTTCACCTGCATCAGAAGAAAAATCAAGTGCAATGACAAAGTCAGGCATGTATAACAAGGTCCCAAAGAAAAGCAGTGTTGTACCAGTAGAACCCAAACCCGTGAAGAAAGCCACTGGGATTAGTCAAGGTGTTGGTTCTGGTGCTGTTAAGAGTAAAGTGCCGCAGCTTGGTGATTCTTCAAAGGGCAGTGGAATTGTTACCCGTGCGGAAGATAAGGAGCAATCTCCTGTGACAACCGAGCCAACTACCAAGGTACCAGAGGCTGATCTTGCTCAACCAGCACATGATGTTGATGAAAATTTAGAAATTTCGATCGATAATGACTTACATGTTGAAAAAACAGAAAACCCGGGCTCGAGTTTAAGCGCAGCCGAAATGGGCCCCAGTGACCAGGTTGAGCCCTCTGTCGTTGAGGTCAAACCTCTTGACGAGGACATGGACATCTCATCAGCTGCCTGGGTTGAAGTGGATCATCAAGAAGTTACTGATGTGGGTGAAAGCGTGACAGGCGAGGATGTCACCTCGCCAGCAATTGAACCATTGCCGTCATCAAGCCCAAGAATCCGTCATTCGTTGTCACAAATGTTGCAAGCAGATAGCAACGAACCAGAAATAATCGAGTGGGGAAATGCTGAAAACCCACCCGCAATAGTTTTTCATAAAGATTCTCCAAAAGGATTCAAGAGACTTCTTAAATTTGCTCGGAAAAACAAAGGAGACAACAACACTAATGGTTTGGCCAGCCCATCTGTGGTTTCTGATGGAGAGGATGAACAAGAAGAATCCGGTGCTGGTGACGGTGTAAATTCCAGCAGGAGAACTTTTGATGGTTCCAAGACTAATAGCGTCTTATCAGGTACTTCTACAGCCATAATTCAGCGGGAGCTTCTCTTCCTACATGCTGTAGTTTTCAAGCAGAAAGCATCTCATACTTTAGTGCTTGAGGCTCTCAGTATTTTACATCTAAAGTTCCTTCCAAGATGGTCATACACAGCGCGCCGCAACGTAACATCGACAATATGATAGCGCAAAGCGAATCTACATAAACATAACCGTTATGTGTTTCTATGAAATACACGTAGTTATTCATTTTCCTATGAATAAAATTGCAGGTCTACCTTGTCGAATCTAAACCTCTTGTTTTTCAGCTCAATCAACGGCCAGCAGCTTCAATGCCACAGGCTCGGATAGGCTACGGGACAGGCCTGGAGCTGCACCGTCAACTAAAGGCTAGTTCCTTTTACCCAAACAAAATTATGGTCACTTGTATCTACTCCCTCCGTTCGGAATTACTTGTCGTAGAAATGGATGTATCTAGATGTATGTTTGTTCTAGATACATCCATATCCGAGACAAGTAATTCGGAACAGAGGGAGTACTAGAGTTGAGTAGACGTGAAAGCACCACTAATACATTTGTTTGTGCCTCTTTGTACTTGCAGCAGCATCAAGGTCATTCTTCTCCCTCTCAAACTTCCGGAGCAGCAAAACCAACGAGTCAAAGCTTCGATAGATAGCATGCGTTGTTATACGTTAGATGTAAAAATGGATTGAGGTGACTGATTGTTGAGAACGGAGCCAGGTTGTTTGTGTCCGGTTCTGCTTTCCTGCTCTTCGATATTAGCTTCTCCTTAGCGGTCCGCATATCATTACTTTGCTCATGTCTTGCTGTACATCTTTTAAGTATTTTTCTGAGTTGTTTTAGATGACCGGTATGTTATCTTGACTGGTACTACTATTTTTCTTTTTTGCGGGTGATCTTGACTGATGACTGCTGCAAAAAAAAAAAAAAACAGATTTAACTGCATCCAGCTAGTTGGTTATATCAGGCAGCTTGACTAGAACTGATTGATGATCTACTGTTGGTGTCGCGAACCTCTGGGATTTTTAAAGCTAAAACTCTGAAGGCGACTTCTTGTTCCAAGTTCTCATTTAGCTACGTATTTGGCGTAAAAAATTAATTCTCACTGAATTTGGAGCGTGCCAAGCAATCATCCTGAAAACGCTGCATGATTACAAAGGTCAGAAGCGCTCTCCCAACAAACCTAAACCCAGGAAAAAGAGGCACAAAATAGATACTCCTACTACATATGGGTACGGTATCACCACACACGGACGGATTCAGAAACAGAAGTGGACATCAATTCAAAGAAAGAAAGAAAATGGTGGTACATGGGTGGACATTTATTTACTAGGTAGACATAAGCATGGCTGCGCCAATCACAGAAAGGGAAGGGGAACGGCAGATGACGGATTCAGAAGGGAACCGGCGAGACTTGGATGAGAGTTGGCTCATAGTGACGAGGGGCCTCGAAACCATGGAGGTTGATGAGTGTCGCCGCGACGTTAGCGAGCCCGGCATCCGGAAGGTCCTCCCGGAATGTAGCCCCTGGCGCAAGCCCTGGACCTCCGATGGCGATGGGGACCTGCAGCCGGGTTCAGTAAGACGATGAGAACGGGACACTCAGTCGTGCTCGTGCATATAGATATACATAGCACCGGGCGTCTGATGATGAAATGTGCACTCACTGGATTCAGTGTGTGTGAGGTAAGGGGCTGCACATTCCCGTCTTTGTCGCGAATCGGTTTCCCGGATTTGTCTCTTTTCACCATGTCCTCGGCATTGCCATGGTCAGCGGTGACCACGAAGATGCCACCTACTTGTTCAATGGCGTCAAGAATAATCTTGACGGCTTCATCAGCGGCCTTGCACCCAGCGATGGTGGCTTCAAGGTCACCTGTGTGCCCAACCATGTCTGCATTCGGGATGTTTACCCGTACCTACAAAACCACCACATCACTCTGTTTTACTACTCACCGTAGTTGCCAATTAACAGTTACAAATGAGTATCTCATTTGTCTACTTGCACATGCATATGCATATGCATGGATTTATGCTTGAGGAGGATCTCATTGTGCCAAGTACCTGATCAAATTTGCCACTGAGGATGGCATCCCGTGCCTTCTCTGCAACTTCCACGGCCTTCATTCTTGGCTGTACATTAAAGGGTATACCAGTGTCACTGGGAATTTCTTCGTACCTTTCCAGGTTTGGGTTGAAGTAGCCCGACCGATTCCCGTTCCAGAAAAAGGTGACATGACCAAATTTCACTGTCTCGCTACAGGTCAAAACCACAAGACATGCTCAAGTACCAGAATGTTCAGAGATAGAAGCTCTTTATACAGCACAAAAGTATGTACCTGCAAGCGTAGGTGCGTACGCCATTGTGCGCCAGGTACTCGCCGGACGTCCTCTCTATCTCCGGGGGAGCAACAAGGTAATGACTTGGGAGCTTTAGTTCGCCGTCATACTGAAGCATACCGGCGTAGCGAATCCTCGGGAATCTGACACGGTCGAATTTGTCCAAGTCCTCGTACTCTAGCGCCTTTGCGAGCATCACCATTCGATCAGCTCTGAAGTTAAATGTCACAACAGCGTCTCCATCCACTATGGGCCCAACAGGTTTTCCGCTTTCATCGACGACGACGAACGGGGGTAAATACTGGTCGTTGGCCTTGGGATCATCATCCCTCAGCTTCTTCACGGCTTCAAGGGCACTTGGAAACTTGTGTGGGGCTTCACCAAGAACCTGGGCATCCCAGCCACGCTTCACAACTTGCCAATCATTCTGCATAACAACAAGAAATACAAAGTTATAACTGCAGTATCTCGCAAAAAAGAAGTTATAATTGCAGTATTGCTGCTGCAGGGTACATCCCTGAAGAAACACACAATTTTTTGAAGTAGGATAGGATAGGAGAGATCACCTCATAGCGGTCCATTGTAACATACATCCTGCCTCCACCAGATGCAATCCTTGCATCAACACCCTTCTCCTGTAGCTTAGCCAGATCATTCTCAAGCGTTTCCACGAATGTGACACTGCTTCCATCCAATACGTCGCGACCGTCGGTAAGGATATGAACCCGTATCCTCTTCGCTCCATGTTCACTAGCCCCCTTCAGAAGCAGCTGCCACAGCCAAATCATTCACATCAGCCTGGAACTACACTGCAGAATGAACTCTGCTTAGAAGAAAAATGGTGTAACCTGCAGCTGATCGATCCTTGAATGCACGCCCCCATCGCTCAGCAAACCAATGAGGTGCAAAGTACCGGTGTCAAAAGACTGCTGGATGTACTTAAAACCCTCCCCCTCATATATCTTCCCAGAGTCAAGCGCCAAATCCACCAGTTTTGCACTGCACGTTGTGCACAAATGATCACTAACTTTTGCTTAATAAGTAGCTTCACCAAGGTAGTTGTACTGAAATTAACTTGGTCGCTTTGGTCATACATGACTGTTGTCCTTATGCTAGCACTAACCCGCACACACCATCGCAAAGCACGCAGACCCGCACACTCCCTCGCCTACTTAACACCATCACATTTTGTCCCGCCCGAGTAACCGGAACAAGTACGGTTACAATGTCAATCGCAAGGATTAAACCAAGGTGTATATGAACGACCACTAGGTCACATGCCTCCATTTGTTCATACATTATACCAGCATAGAAAGCCAACATACAAGTTCAATATCTAAAATGACTAAAGTCGGCAACAAACCTACACACACAACGCATAGTGTATTCAAATTTCTTTACAAAGTGTTTATTATAATTATTACTAGCATAGTAAGTATCCCTTTTACATAGTTTATTATCACTATTACTACTATAGTGTCACTGGCTTTGATAACAATTAGGAAGATCCCAAAAACAAAGTAGTAGAAAAAGAACACAAAATTGAAATGTCAGGCTGGTAGGACTAGGGTTCCTACCGGCTCTACTGCGAAGGTTGTAGGGGCAAGGAGGGAGTGGACGCGGCGAGGAACGGGCGCGCCGGCGGCAGGGCGCCGTCGCGGCTAGGGTTGAGGGCGGCGGCGGCTTGGCTGCGGCGGCTAGGGTTTCCGGCTCCTCTAGAAGCCGGGCAACAAAAGATAATAATAGTCTTTATTGCTTGCCTCAAAACGATGCCTTACATGAGTATTTATAACTTTAGCCTAAGATAACTTGCCTAAGATAACTTGTGGGCCAAGCCCCTAATACTAATGCCCGGTGGGCCTCTTCCTAGAATAGACCAAGCCGGTCATAACATCTCTCCCCGCCTGCGCAAACAGCTCGTCCTCGAGCTGAAAGTCTGGATAGTGTTGACGGAAATCTTCACGCTGCTCCCAAGTAGCCTCCTCCTCCGGAAGGCCCGCCCACTGAATTAGGACGAACCAGACGCCACGACGGAGCTGGGCCTGCAACACCTTTGCTGGCTCTGGAAGAATGCGACCATCGGCGGTTGGAGGAAGTGCCGGAGGAGCCGCCGATGGCTCCCATGAAAAGGCTTGAGCAGCCCCACATGGAACACGTCGTGGATGCGGGCGCGGGCTGGAAGCTGAAGACGATAGGCCACCTTCCCAATGCGCTCCACGACAGGGAAGGGCCCGGCGTAGCGAGGGCCAAGCTTGCGCTTCGCGCGCGGGTCCAGTGACTGCGTAGAGCGGTGGAGAAGACGCAGCCACACCCAGTCACCCACTGCGAACTCCGCCTCGCGATGATGATCGTCATAGTAGTGCTTGGCCGTCTGCTGGGCCTGAAGGAGACGCTGACGGACCTCAGCCAGCATCTCATCACGGGTGCGGATAAGGTCACCCGCAACCGCCGTCCGAGCCGTCTCCGGGTCGACCGGAAGTATAGGCGGGGGTGGTCGACCATAGACCACCTCAAATGGCGTCGCGCGCAGGGCGGAGTGATACGAAGTGTTGTAGCAGTACTCCGCCCAAGAGAGCCAGTCCACCCAAGCGCGAGGCCGATCACCTGTCACACAACGCAAATACATGGCAATGACCTTGTTAACCACCTCAGACTGACCGTCCGTCTGAGGATGGAACGCCGTACTCAGGCGGAGCTGGACACCCGCCATCCTGAAGAGGTCGCGCCAGACATGGCCCGTGAAGACTGGGTCCCGATCACTGACGATCGACGTCGGGAACCCGTGTAGACGGACTATGCCGTCGAAGAAGGCCCGGGCCACGGATGCCGCCGTGTATGGATGGCCCAGCGCGATGAAGTGGGCGTACTTAGAGAAGCGATCGACCACCGTGAGGATGACTGACTTGCCCCCCACCTTGGGAAGGCCCTCGATGAAGTCCAAGGAGATATCCGCCCAAACCTGAGACGGCACCTCCAAGGGCTGAAGGAGCCCCGCCGGCCTCAGGGTCTCTGTCTTGTTGCACTGGCAAGTCTGACAAGACCGAACCCAGTCGCGGACCAGGGCACGATCGCCAGGAATGTAGAAGTCGGCGCGAAGATGATGGAGGGTTTTCTGCACACCCTCATGGCCCGCCGAGTGGGCGAGCTACAACACCTGGTGACGGAGATCATCATGCGCTGGAACAAAGATCCGGCGCCCATGGAGGAGCAGTCCGTCAGAGAAGCACCAGGGCTCCTCCAAGTCGCCGGCCGCGAGCTGCTGCTGAAGAAGTGCGGCGTCATTTGCCGTCGCAGTGGCGCGTCGAATGTCGGTGAAGAGACCGAACGATGGCCCGGAGCGGATGCACAAGGCCGTCCCAGCGGACGCGTCGGCGGATGGCGCGAGGTCGGAATCGCGACGGGACAGCGCGTCGGCCACGGTGTTAAGACGGCCCGGCCGATACTCGACGGAGAAGTCAAAGCCGAAGAGCTTGGTGATCCACTGGTGCTGCGGGACGGTCGACAGCCGTTGATCCAGCAAGAACTTCAGGCTGTAGTGGTCCGTGCGAATGTGGAAGGTCCGCCCCCACAACTATGGCCGCCAATGACGTACGGCCTGGACGAGGCCAATGAGCTCCCGCTCGTAGGCTGCCAACTTAAGATGGCTCGGAGCGAAAGGCCGGCTGAAGAAAGCGAGGGGCTCATCGCCCTGATGAAGTACGGCGCCGAACCCGGCGCCCGAGGCGTCATAGTCCACCACGAACGGCCAGTCGAAGTCGGGCATCTGGAGGACGGGGCCCGTCGTGAGGGCCCCCTTGAGGGCCTCGAACGCCGTCATCGCCTCGTCGTCCCAGGCGAAGGCGTCGCGGCGAAGCAATCGCGTGAGGGGCGCCGCGATGAGTCCGAACTCCCGGATAAATTTCCGGTAGTAGCCGACGAGTCCGAGGAACCCGCGGAGAGCCCGCGGCGAGTGAGGCGTCGGCCAGGCGGAGACGGCCGCCACCTTATCGGCGTCCATAGCCACCCCGTCGGCCGAGATGACATGGCTGAGGTAGGCGACGGTAGGCGTCCCGAACGAGCACTTCGAGCGCTTAAGGTGGAGGTGGTGCGCCCGAAGCTCGTTGAAGACGATGGCGACGTGCTGGAGATGTTCGTCCCAGGTGGCGCTGTAGATAAGGATGTCATCAAAGAAAACAAGCACAAACCGCCGTAAGTAGGGTCGAAGGACGTCGTTCATCAGGGCCTGGAACATCGCCGGGGCGTTGGCGAGGCCGAAAGGCATCACCAAGAACTCGAAGTGGCCATGGTGGGTGCGAAACACCGTCTTGGCGATGTCGTCCGGATGCATGCGCACCTGATGATAGCCCGACCGGAGATCGAGCTTGGTGAAGAAGCGTGCCCCATGGAGCTCATCCAAGAGCTCGTCGACCACCGGTATAGGGAACTTGTCCTTGAGCGTGAGTGCGTTGAGGGCGCGGTAGTCGATGCAGAAGCGCCATGTGCCGTCTGACTTACGGACGAGAAGCACCGGCGCCGTGAAGGGCGACGTGGAGATCCGGATGATGCCTGCGGCGAGCATCAGGGCACACTGGCGCTCCAACTCATCCTTCTGCAGCTGGGGGTAGCGGTAGGGTCGCACCGCCACCGGAGTGGAGCCTGGTACGAGGTGAATATGATGGTCGTACACCCGGGCAGGCGGAAGACCCCGCGGATCGTCGAAGAGGTCGCTGTGCTGCTGCAGAAGAGAATCCAGCAGGGGGTGCTCGGCCTCCGAGGACGCGGCAGCCAGCTGGAGGTGTGGCACGGCAGGCGCGGCGCCCCCAATGCCCTCCCACCGGATGCGGCGGCCCTGCCGCCAGAATGTCATCGTGAGCGCGTCGAAATCCCACAGGATGGGGCCGAGGGTCCGGAGAAAGTCCACCCCGAGGATGAAGTCGAAACAGCCCATATCGATCCCAGCACAGGTGATGGAAAAGTGTTCACCGCCGATGGAGATGGGAACGTCGCGGGCTAGCCCATGACACCGGAGGCGATCGCCGTTCGCCACTGTGATCCTAGGGATACCAAATTGGTAGGAGTAGGGTTCCTACCGGCTCTACTGCGAAGGTTGTAGGGGGAAGGAGGGAGTGGACGCGGCGAGGAACGGGTGCGCCGGCGGCAGGGCGCCGTCGCGGCTAGGGTTGAGGGCTGCGGCGGCTTGGCTGCGGCGGCTAGGGTTTCTGGCTCCTCTAGAAGCCGGGCAACAAAAGATAATAATAGTCTTTATTGCTTGCCTCAAAACGATGCCTTACATGAGTTTATAACTTTAGCCTAAGATAACTTTCCTAAGATAACTTGACTAAGATAACTTGCGGGCCAAGCCCCTAATACTAATGCCCGGTGGGCCTCTTCCTAGAATAGACCAAGCCGGTCATAACACAGGCCCACTCGAATCATACACGAATGAATGTGTACCAAAAAATGATCGATTGTATTGTAAGAAAATAAAGGATTCTTTCCAAGAGGTTTGAGCAAACATAAAATTTTCTTTGAAATGTTACGCGAGGAAATCACTGAGAAAATGCTTGATAGGATTCAATACTACTACAAATCAAACAACCCACGTAGGGAAATTCCTACAAATCTCATGTGTATTCTCCCGAGGCGAGTACTCCCCGACTCTCTTTGGAAATAAGTAGCACCCGACTCCTCTTTGGCAATAAATAACTCGCAAATAGAAATTTCAATAAACAATCCTAAAGAGTGAAATTCCTTAAAACACCTATGAAAAACCTTTGAATCAAAGAGGTCCTAAGGAGTAAGATAGCCACCTTTAAGAGATAAATAAACAAGTGTCCTTATATGGCTTCCACAAATTTTTCATAACACACTGCAAATCTTATTATTCTAGTACTCACTCTGTCCGAAATTAACTGTAACGTATCTACACACCGAAACACATGTAGATACACTCATAACACTCATTTCAGAGACAGTTAATTCCGGACGGAAGTTGTACTAGCAATAATACTACACCTACGAAAGATGTTACGTAACCTTCCTCCTAATCCTCTCCCCCCCCCAAAAAAAATTCAACAGGGGTGGGGCCGGCCTCCCCTCTTACCTCCAATCAAAAATTGCCAACTGGCCAATCCCCCATAAACCGGGCTAGGATCGTCTGCAGTACTGTATGATGCAGTACTATCATTGCCGTGTGGACCCGGCCCCATATGTCATCCGCACTACAGCACCGTACAGTACTGTAGAGGATCTCAACCCCCGCAAACCATACTTAGGGCCTCTTTGATTTGCAGGATTATAAAAACATGGGAATAGGAAAAACATAGGATTGGAATGTCATGCTCATCTCAATCCTATAGGGTTTTAGGTTGTTTGAGCATCATAGGAAAAACAAAGGATTCTTTTAAAGAGGTTTGAGTGGATGCTAGAAATCCTATGAGAAGTAGTACAAAAAATTCCTTTGGAAAAAAATCCTATAGGATTCAATCCTATGAATCAAACAATCAACATAGAAAAAATTCCTAAGGATACCAATCCTTCAAAATTTCTATGCAAATCCTTTGAATCAAAGGAGCCCTTAATTGGCCGTGGATGTAGCATTGGGAGCATTACCCCTGGGCATATATCTGGCCGGCTCCAAGCGCATTGTGGCCGACCTCGCTGTTCCCCATGTCATCATCCGTAGGCAGCCCCACGGCCGTGCCGTGAGCTTTGATCAGCCTCCACCTCTCCGGAGCACCCTGCCATGCCATGCAACCACACAAGCAAAGGATCTCCATCCGCATGTAGGAACCGAACCGGAACCGATGAAGCAGCGTGAGAGAAGAGAAGAGAGACGCAGGTACCTTCTTGAGGGCGTCGAGGGTGGGGGTGTCGGCGACGTGGATGCAGTTGAAGGGGTCGGGCGGCGCCTCGCCCCATCCGTCCAGCACCACCACGCCCACCACCTTCCGTTTCCCCAGCCTCCCGTGTTCAGCCAGCCCCCACGGCCTCTCCTCCTCCGCCCCCGGCCTGCGCGCCATCTTGCCTCGGGCCTGTGTGATCAACACTCGCTTCCTGAAGCAGCGCGCCGAAACAGGGCAAGTGCTTTGCTGGGTTCTGGCCTTCTGAGAGAAGCGGTGGAGAGATTGCCGAGTTTTTGTTTGTAGGAATCGGCCATGCTTGTTTTCTCTCGAAGGGTCTGGGCGCCACGAGGCAGCTGGGAGAGGCACAAGTGTATAGACCTGAGGAGCTGGTCCGCTCATGAACCTACCTGACAGTACGACGCTGACACATGGCCCCGGTCAAATTCAAAGAAGAAGAAGAAGAAGAAGAAGAAGAAGAAGAAGAAGAAGAAGAAGAAGAAGAAGAAGAAGAAGAAGAAGAAGAAGAAGAAGAAGAAGAAGAAGAAGAAGAAGAAGAAGAAGAAGAAGAAGAAGAAGAAGAAGAAGAAGAAGAAGAAGAAGAAAAGATTTCCATGCCAGTTAATTATAATTTTTTTTCAAAACTATGATATATTATATAGCATTTTCGAGAACTATAGCACGTAATGCAAAAAAACCAAAACTAGTAGCCCGTCGGGCAGGTGTTGGCCGAAGTGGCACTTTTCGGTCGCAGCTTGGCCGAAATGGGCTTTTCGGCCCGCGGTTGACCGAAGATACGCCTAGCTGGGCCGAAAATCGAGTGTCGGTGGAAGTATGGCTGAAAATAGTAGCTTCGGCCTGGGACCGACCGAAGTGGGCCTTTTCGGCCAGGCAGCGGCCGAAGTACTTTTCAGCCACGCATTGACCGAAAAGCGCCGGATAAGGCACCGCGCGGCGTCTCCTTCCTCTCGCCTGTTCGCCTCTGTTCTTCTTTCTCTCTCTCGTTTCTTCTCTGTACCTCACCATCCCTAGCTGATCTCCTCCGTTTGCCACCCATTTTCACATCTAAGCCACTGAATCGGTAGATCGTAGCAATCTCAAATGGCCTACGGTGTTTTTTTTGCTATGGGATAGTTTTCTGTGCGTTTGGGGAGGAGTAGACATGGTGGGGAGGAGGAGCCATGGTGGGGAGGAGGAGATGCGGTTGGGCAGGAGGTGTTGATGAGGAGCAGCAGCTGTGGAGGAGGAGGTGCGGCTTGGGGGTGACTGGAGTTGAACCTCCGGTCGTCGAGGGGGCGGCGGTGGTGCTGTCGTTGTTCAGTGGTGCAAGCACCTCCGCTAAGGTATAATCATCTCCTCACAAATTTTCTCTGAGTTGCATAGTTTAGTTAGCGTAGATAAATTATATTGCGAATTGTAGTGTTAATTTGTATGTGGTGGCATTTTAGCGGAGTAATAATTGTGTTAGTGTAGCAGAATAATAATGATTGTGTTAGTTTAGCGGATAATAAAAATTGTGTTAGTGTTAATTTGTATGTGGTGGCATTTTAGCGGATTTTAGTTAGTGTAGCGGATAATATTAGTGTTCGTTGTGATTAATGAGAAGATGGCAATGTCTGACAGGTGAAAATATCCGAATCAGTAAATCTGAATGTTTACTACGGCACTGGTAATGTTCGATATAATGAGTTGGGGGTTGATCTTAGCGAGTTTAAAAATGGAGTCATGACACTAGCAGACCCGGACAGACTGGACATTAGACAATTGAAGTACTGGTTGACAACTAGTTTCGGGCTGGATCCTGAAGTATGTTCCGTCAGTATTCATGCATTGTGGACCAAATCTTGTAAAAATGTCAAGTGGGAGTTGATGCCGGTAGATAGGAGCCAGCATTGGTTGCCCTTGTTAAGACGGTGCCGAGACTGAAGAATCCACCCATATGCACTTGTGCAACCTATGCCGAAGGAGGAGAATACCATACAACTCCACAGGGGGTATGAACCCGGCCAAGGCAGTGAAGTGGCTAACGAGATTGTTTTATCCGGATCACAGTCACAAGATGTGGATGCTAGCCAACCTGAGAAAGAGTCAGACTACGTGCCACACAATGTTTGTGGTCCTGATACTGGGCAGAGTAGCCAGTCGATAATATTAGCTGGTTTTGGTATTGCTGATGGGGATGAGGAAGGGGATGAAATGCAGAGGCTGATGGAGGAAGAGGACGAGGATGGATTGGTGGAGGAACTGGATTCTGAAAATTCTGAGGATGAAGTGGAGGTACCGATTCCTTCTGCATGGGAGCAGGACATATCCATCGGCCTTACGGTCAACGATGGCCATGAGACTCCATGGCAGTATAATCTGAACCAAGTACATATAGGGGCTATGTTTGATACAAAGAAAAAAATGAAGTATGCGGTGATAAAGTGGGCTATGTCTACGCAGAGGGTTTTTCGGACACACATATCAAGTCCAGCAAACTATATCGTGAAATGTGTTGTAACAGGTTGTCTTGGGAAGGTGCACGGGCACGTGCCGAAGTATGACATCCACTGGGTTGTCACCATTATCGTCCCACATAATTGTGTGAGAAAGAACCTGCTGGTGAAGCATCCGAACCCGACTTCAAGTCTTATTGTGCAACTCATGTATACTGAGATAATAGAGAAGAAAGATATGAAAGCAAAACACATCCAGACAGCAGTGAAGGTCAGATGGAATTATGTCATTCCTTATGGGAAGGCTTGGAGGGCTAAGCAGAAGGCTATGGAGGAAAGGTTTGGGACGTTCTTCGACTCATATGATAATGTTGTCCGTCTCCTGGGCATACTAGAGGAGAGGAATCCCGACACTTATGTGAACGTACAACACATGAGGTTACTGAGTATACTAGATTTCAAGGTGTTGAAACGAGTGTTCTTCTCTTTTGCTATGTGCATTGAAACTTTCCAACATTATCCTCCTGTTATGTTTGTGGATGGTACATTCCTGACCGGTCAGTATAGAGGGCAAATCATGACCGCTATTGGTGTGGACGGGAACAATCAAATCATCCCATTTGCCATGGCATTTGTGGAGGGTGAGAACTTTCTCAGCTTGTTATGGTTCTTCCGCCAAGTGAAAATTGCCATCGTGAAGGACCGACCAAACGTGTGTGTCATTCATGACAGACATGCTGGTATATTGAAGGCCGTGAAGACACTTTGTAATCCAACAGATGATGAACCAACACCTTGGAGGGACTTGCAGAGCCAGTGGTGCATGCGCCATCTTGGGGCTAATTTTTTCTCACAGTTCAAGAACAAGCGGTTGATGAACTTGTTCAAAAAATTATGCAACCAGAGCCAGCAGCGCAAATACGAATTTATTTGGTCAAAACTAGATGAGTTTACTAAGAAGCAGGTCCGTGCGAGGAAGAAAATGGAAGAAGACCAGGTTAAATTAGCAGCACTCATCACGGAGCTAGAGGAGCCAGTAGGTCTTTGTGACTTGCCAGCAATTGACCCTCCTAATACTAAGAGAAAGAAGGGAAGGGCAATAAAGAATTTTTCTGAGTGGATAGAGAAAGAGCCTCCAATGAATTGGTCTTTGCTGCATGACACACATGGAGCTAGGTATGGCCACATGACAACCAATCTTGCAGAGGTGTATAACTTTGTGCTGAGAGGGAATAGAGCATTGCCACTCACAGCAATTGTGGAGGCTGTATTCCATGGCACTTTGAGATATTTTAGAGAAAGGCACGAGTTAGCAAAGAAGCATATTGAAGATAATCAGAACACACCTTATTGTAGCCGTGTCATGGAATACATGGCAAAGAAGATAGAGAAAGCAAAGAAGCACACTGTCAGACTCATAGGGAATCAAGAAAGGAGGTATGAGGTTCAGCTTCCTACCGATGGTTTTGGTTCTGGAAATGAGGTGAAGACACACGAGGTAAAAATTGGAACGGAATTTTATCCAACGTGTGAGTGTACATGCAACAAACCGAAGTTGTTGCACCTACCTTGCTCTCATGTGTTGGCTGCCTGTGGCCAGATTGAGTTGGATGCTATATCCTTCGTGTCCCCATACTATTTAAAAGAGGCAGTGCTCAACACCTGGACAGGCGAGATGACAGGGTTTAGAGTCGTCGGCAATTTCAACAAGGTAAACGACGGTGAGAGAGTATACATCCCGCATCCAGACCTTCGGCGAACAAGTAGGGGCAGACGAAAGGCCCGTCGCATCCGGAACGATATGGACCAGTCTGAAGCTGGTGGAGCAACCAGACAATGTTTGTTATGCGCGGCTTATGGGCATAGGATGAAATATTGTCCCGACCTGAACAAAGATGGTGCTTTCGCATCGACGAGTGCTTCCACATCGACGGCTGCGACAACAGAAGAAAGAGGTGGACATGGTCGTGGCAGTCGAGGCCGAAGGGGAGAACGAGGAAGAAATAACTCACAAGCTATATAATGTGTCGTAGTGGGTTTTAATATGTAATATGTCAGGACTATGTTTTAATATGTAATATGTCAGGACTATGTTTTAATTTGTAATATGTCAGGACTATGTTTTAATTTGTAATATGTCAGGACTATGTTTTAATTTGTAATATGTCAGGACTATGTTTTAATATGTAATATGTTAGGACTATGTTTTAATTCGTAATATGTCAGGACTATGTTATAATTTGTAATATGTTGTACTATGTTTTATTTGCATATGAGATTTGTTGTTTAAATTGCAGATATGTCTTCGTATCCGTTGCTTAATGGTAACATCGATAGAAAGCACCGGAGCGCCCTTACGGAAGCGGGCAACAACTTAGACGTGTTGGTCACTCGTACCCCAAAGACTAACTGGCTGATACACGATTCATGGGTTGATAGGTATGTGTGCATATAATGGAGTCCATATAATGACTTACTATGTTTGACATACTTTTCATAACCTCTAACAATCTCTTTATTTTGTAGGTTAAGTTGGGCTGGACTTCTACCCTCGGCACGATTGGTTGAGGGTACATTGGATGAGTGGATTGATGGTCCGGACTTAGATGAGGCAGGTGAACCATTGCAGTTACACAAGAGGCAAGTGAAACGTTTCTCTTACGACAAGTCACTCCTTACCTGCTTAGTAGATAGATGGAGACCAGAGACACATATGTTTCACTTTCCCTGGGGAGAGATGGC